AAATCCCCTTAATAAAAGGATTTGTTCTGTAAAACTTGGACTCAGTCAAAGGCCACACCCAGGACGTAGAAGGCCACATGTGGCCTCGAAGCCACAGGTTCCTCACCCCTAAAAGATAGCCACAGTTTGTAACAATACCTTGTGTACAGTTTGGAGTTGGAGTTGGGAGAGTTACTAAAACTCTCTGTAAGTCATAGAAATCTGTATCTCACTCTGATAAAACTTTTTTACACTTCTTTTTCCTAGGGAGAAAAGCGTTAAATAACTGTTCTGTTGCAGACATCTTGCATCATTTAGTAGATGTAATTGTAATAGACTCAAGCTTGGCTTCTGTCCCACAGGAAACACAGCCAGCCAACTTCCCCAGTCCCAAAAAAGGAAACTTGCCAAGCCAAAAGGATTCCTCCTTTCTTACATAGGAGCTCTTAGATGAAAACTTCTTGGAAAACACAGAAAACAAAATACTGCTGTACTTAGCCAACATCTTTACTTTATCTTTTACATATAATTTTTAATGTATCTATTAGGTCAGCTTTCTCTTTCAAACAGTTATCCTAATGACTTGTTTCTAAGCAAGAATTCCCTCTCAATTATAACACTATTTAAAGTTATTTTTAAAAAGGATGTCTGTTGCATAAAGTCCTGACTAGGCATTTCCACCCGCCTGTTAGTGGCCTACTGATGCATTGCTGGTAATGATTACCAAGAGATAATAGGAGGAAAGGGTGACAAGTACTCTTCTGGCCAAAGGGTGCTTTCAGCACAAGTGGACCACAACTTCAAGGCTTATATTGTTCACCAATACAAAGAGCATCATTTGTAGATAGTTACTCACCTTGAGAGCTATAAGGAATGCCAATTCGACTACAGTCTCGAACCATGTCCACAAAACTGGCAATTTTAAATTCCTCAGCGGCTTCTTCATCTTCATACTAAAGAGAAAATGAAACTAATGATTTAGAGAGCTAGCTGGGAGCCTAAAGATAACCTAGTCTGACCACAGAAGGGGAAATGACTTACTCAAGGTCATCTAGTTAGTTAGTAGCACAGCTGGGACTAGAATTTGGTTTTCCTAGGACCTCCATTCCAGGGCTCCTTCCATTGTTATCACACTGCTTCTTAATGTGGGACTTTAAAGACAACTTCTCAGAAACGAACTGGTTTTACAAGCCACTCCCCAGATTTTCTCTGTCGACAAACACGATTTTATATAACCAACAATCCAGAAGAAATAACAAATGAGTTTTGCCAAATGACCCTTGTAGGGTAGGAGCTTTTCAAAGGGCATGTTTTTCAAAGCAAGACAACAAGAGGTGGGTGCAAAGCCTATCCATTTATGTAACTTCCAAAGTACAAAGAGAAGGCAGGATTACCTTCTAGGACACAACTGCTCCTCTACCAGCGGGCACACTTGCACAGAACCCAGCCATAAGCCAGGGGGGCAGTGCTCCTGGGTCCCTGTATGGGACCTTTCAGTAGCCATGCCAGTTAGCAATGCATGCATTATTCTGAACAAAGAAACATTTTAAGAGTTGGTTATCCAGAGGGTACAGTGCTCTGGGGCACCAGACCTCAGGTTTCAATTTTAGCTGTCTTAATAGAAAATACAACCTCACAATATACCACAATTATAACCAAATCATTCCATTTAGCAGAGGAGAGAGCCTCCCATCTGCTGGGCTTCACATGAGGGTACAGAGATCACTAATTAAGAGCTCTGGTTCAAAAATTCCTTTCCTCTGCTACTGTCTCATCACAGCAGGAAGGCTGGTTGCCCCAAAAGGAAATCCAGGTCTGCTCTGGATGCTTTGCCCAGTACCAAAAGAGCCCCTAATCTTCATGCCTTCCTCTCTACTCTCCTCTAGAAGTTGGGCCCATCCATCACCCTCACTCAATCAATGTTTTTTTTTTTTAAATTAAATTATTTCTTTTTAGTTTTCAACATTCACTTCCACAAGATTTTGAGTTCCAAATTTTCTCCCCATCTCTCCCCTCCCCTCCCCTCGTCCCAAGTGGCATGTATTCTGAACACCCCATCCCCCAATCTACCCTCCCTTCTATCACCCCCCCTTCTCTTATTCCCTTCCCCTTCTATTTTCCTGTACGGCAGGATAGATTTCTATACCCCATTGCCCATATATCTTATTTCTCAGTTGCATGTAAAAACATTAACCTATGATTTTCAATCTCTCCCTACATACTTATTACTTCCCACAAATACGCATAGGTCTTCCCCATTGGAAAAAACCAAAACACTCTGACTTGACCCTGCCATCCTCTTAAACTATCACCTTCTCTTTCTCTTTTTGTAGCCAAACTTCCTACAAAGAACTCCCCACTCTTGCTGCCTCCACTTTGTCACTTCTCACTCATTTCTCAGCTGCTTCCAGCTGCATTCAACTGAATCTGCTTTCTGCTTCCTTCTTCCTGACCTGAATACAATGTTTGATACTTCTGACCATTCCTACCTCCTGAATATTATTCCTGCATTTTTGTGATACTACTCTCTCCTGGTTCTACACCAACTTGATTGGCTGCTCCCTCTTAATCTCTTTCACAAACTCATGGTACCTATGTGGGTATAACCCAGGGCTCTTCTTTCTCTGCATTCTCACGCTATGATCTCACTACGTGGCTGGCCCCCAGATCCACGTATCCAAGACTCGTGCTCTCCTATGCTCCAGGTCGGCTTCACAATTGCTCTAGCTCCTTTAAAGGTTCAGTTCAAATGCTACTTCCCATATGCCGTACCTGAGGGATCCACTCACCCTTAAATACTTTGTATATATTCTATATCTACTTGATGCTCCCCCTTGTAAAATCTTACTTGAGGGTAGGGATGGCTTTGGTTTTATCTTTGTATTCCGCCAGACCCTAGCCCAGCGCCTGGCTCACGGCCAATATTTAAAACATGCTTGTTTTTGAGTTTAGTGCTTCATTTTTCAAACCTGGTAAAACCAACCTTGGAAATGATAAAATGATCATATCTCAGTCACAATGAAACTGCTTCATTTCTCAGTCTTACTGTTCCATGAACAAGACTGAGAAGGGGAGTAACACCCCCATTAAAGAGTACTTACAGGGTCATTTGTACATCATTGTGGCAGGAATTCCAGAGAAGCACAAAAACTGGCAAGCAATTGTACGTGTGGGATAAGACCAGAAAATCCCTACCAATTACCCTGGGCAGATCAGCCAGACAAAGAATCTTACTAATTGCTATCCCCTAGAATTCCACAGGCAGCACCAACCTGACAATATCACCATGTATTGACAGAACTTAAGTATCAGCAAGTCAAAAATTCAGCCAATAGCAGGTCCAGTTCCAAGAAAGGTGACAGTTACAGAAGCAGAAACAGAGTCTGCTTGCTTCTCGTTTCTCAAATGTGAGGACAATGGAGCTTGACTAAAGACCAGTCTATGATATCCAAGTGGTATTTGGAGCCCTTCAGTCTGAATTTTCCTTGCTTTTCTTAGCTGGGTCTGTTAAAATCAGGTCTAGAAAGGTATCCTATCATAAGGAGTAGGTTGGGACAAAAAAGAGAAACACCTAATTATATAAACTCTTTTAGGTACAAAAGAAGTAAGCAAAATTCAGATAAAAATGGAGAAGAAAATTCATCTGATAGTGTAGGCCATATGTCAGGATATACAAAACTATTTGATAAATTCTTGTTATCTACATTTTTTTTTAAAAAAAAGTAAATAAGATTTCAGGATCACAGGACAATAGGTTGGAAAACAGAAGGGGTACTAAAGATCATAGTACAATCCTTTCATGAAGCCACAAATCCTAACCCTTCAACAGCCACCCCAAATTCAGAACGATCACTCCACTGTATGGGTGAGGAAATCTATTTAAGAAGAAAAACACGATAAAGGAGTACCTAGAAAAAAAATTGAGCTCCATACTTTCTAAGCTATCCAGGATGTCTTTGATTTCCACAGTTGGAGGCAATCTGTCCCTCTTCTGAACTCTCATCAATTTTGTACCAATTATGACATTCAAGTATAAGGCAAGGCAGGGCATGAGATCCGTGTACATGCCTTACCTTCTGTACTGTACTGCAAATTCCATGAGTGCCCAAGACAATGCCTCTATAGCTTCCCCCGTACTCAGACATAGGGCCTTGAACATAGTAGATGGTTAATAAATGTTCATCAAATATTTGTACAAAAGCCTGAGGTTAAATAAATTTGCACCTGCCCTACTGGTTGTGGGAGTTTGGATTGGCTTTGGCTGAGGGAGACCCAGAGCTCTGGGCAGCAGAGTTTCCACTCTGAAAAAAGTACCAAGTATGCTCTAGGACAGAAGTCCATGAACTTTTTAAAAAAATGATAAATGTATTTCAATGATTGGTTTCCTTTGCAATTCTATATATTTTATGCATTTAAAATCATTATTCTATAAGATAGGGTTCACAGTGTCAAAAAGTTCATGACATAAAAACAGTTAAGAACTGTTCTAGTTCTCCCTGTTCTAGGAGCTCAGAGAATTGCTTCTTGAACAGTATTAAGAGCCTTTAGGTCTCATCATAACACACATTCTCACCTGAGTGAAAAACTTAAGAGTTTATGGTGGCTATATTTTTCCTCTAGAAAAGAGGTTATTCTTTTGTTCTTTTCCTCTGAGGGGGGAAAAAACCTTCCTCTATTAGTTACTAAGCCTGAAAGTGAGTTATTTTGAGAGACCAAACCAAGAGTTGGCTAGCTGCTATAGCTGCTATGGGGGCACATTTCTACTGGGCACAGATTTTAAATGTACTACACTGAGGGGTGTTTTCTTCAGCAATTTTTACTCCAATATAAACACTGTTGCTATAAAAAACATTTGTAAAGCATCTTTGGAACTGCATCTGAGGTTTCCCACCAAAAATCTGAAAAGACAAGCACGTGATCAAGTTAACCACACAGCTTTTAGGAAAACTTGCACTACCCCCAGGCCCATGAAAAGTCATTCTCCACCTCGAAAAAATTCATATTATGAAGGCAAGGAGTAAGAGTAAGTAGGGTTGGCTGTCCAGATAAGGAGAGCTGATGCCAACAGCCCACTTCCAGGTCTCACTTTTTCCATGCCCTCCTTCTCCAGTATCTGCTGCCTAGGGTGGGGCATACAATTTGCTTCCTAAAACAGTCCTTATCATTCACAAGATATGAGACCTCACACAAAAGAAAACTAGCCTTTATCAAAGAAGATGATTAACATAAACTGCTTTGTAAATCTTAAAGCACTACATAAATGTCCACTATTATTATAATTATTCCTCCCGACTTAAATCATCTCTGCAGCCTTGTTTCTTAGGTCAGTACCTCTTCACAGGAAGGATGCTCTTGGGATATAATTCCACCATTTCCTCACCTCATTTTCAGTCATGCAGTGGAAATGTAAATTTCTCCAATGTGCTACATAGGGCAAGAGATAACGGTAATTCACAGGATTGCAGTACAGATGAACACTGTCAGATTTGATCAATATAATTACATCTGTGAAAAGAACAGAAATATGAACAGTTTTTCCCTCAGAGGCAGTATGAACAAGGCATAAACTTACATTTAGTAAATAAACATTCCGTAAAATTCTGCAATTGGAAAATGTACTGTCAATCAATACAGCTAGGATAAAATGGGGAAATGATAAATGGGGAAAAAGTTTTTGCATGAAAATCTCTAATGAAAGTCTGGTATCCAAAGTACAGATGGAATTGGTGTGATAGATATAAGACCAGAATCTACTCCTCAATAGATAAGTGGCCAAGGGAGATAAAAAATACACAAATGAAGAAATGCAAATTATCAACAACTTTTTGAATAAAAAAAATTTTATCCAAATTACAGATAGTAAGAGAAATGCTGGTTAAAACAACTCTGAGATTTCAACTCAAATGCAGAAATTCAGGAAAGATGATTTTTAAAAAGATGGAAAAAGCCAGTGTTGGAGGGACTAAGGGAAGACAGGCACACACACAGTGGAGATGTGAATTGGTCCAACTATTCTGGAACATAGTTTGGTATTATGTCAGCGAGTCAACGAGCATTTACCAAGAGCTTACGATGTGCAAGGCACTGCACTAAGCACTGAGGATACAAAGAAAAGCAAAAGCACAGTTCCTGCCCTCAAGGAGCTCACATTCCACTGGAGGAAAAAACATGTAAACAGCTATGTCCACGTAGATGGAAGGTAATCTTAGAGGAAAGGCACTAGCAGTGGGAGAGAGGGGATCCTGGGGAGGTCAGGAAAGGCCTCCTTCACAAAGTGAGATTTGAGCCGAGTCTTGAAAGAAGTGAAGGGAGCTAAGAGGTAGATGTGAGGGAGCAGACAATTCCGGGAATGGTGCACAGCCAGGGTAAAACGCATGCAGTAGGGAAGTGGAATGATCTGTATGAGGAACGTTGAGTGGGCCAGTGTAGCTGGTGATGGAGTCTGTGGAGGGAAATAAATTGTTAGAAGCCTAGAAGACAAGAAAGGACCTGGTTGGGAAGGGTTTTCCATATCAAATAGTCTTTATATCTGACCCTGAAGGTAATATGAGCAGAGGGGTGGCAAGGTCAGACCTGTACTCTACAAAAATCACTTTGGCAGATGAGTAGATAATGGGCTGGAGTGGGGAGAGACTGGAGGCAGAGAGAACACTGAGAAGGTCACTGCAATAATTCAGATGAGAGGGACTGAGAGCATCTTCTATTTATCTCTACCTATCTCTCTATTTTACTGACGTAGAGAGCAGAATTTGTTCATATTCTCTTTAGCCCAGGGATCCCCAAAAAAGATACCACACACACTAAAATAGTCATAGCAGCACTTTTTGTAGTAAAAGAAAAAAAAGATCTATAAACAGAATAGGTACCCATTGACTATGCAATAGCTGAACAGATTGTGGTACATGAATGGAATGCAATACTACAGCCCCAGTAGAAATGATGAATGTGAGAAGTCCCTTGCCTGGCTCTCTCTTTTGTCCCTTTCACCCTCACTCTAATCATAGTTGTTTGTAGACATGTCCTTTCTCTACCAAATGTTCCTTGAGAAAAGAGTCTATGTTCTATTGAGCTCTGTATTCTGAGAATTGAGCACAGGGCCTCACACATAGTAAGTGCATAATAAATGTTTGTTGAACTGAAAAATATAGCTTAGTTTTCTGCTGTCAACTGTCCCATCTAGTTCCAAGCCTGCAATCTGACTGTTATGGGCCAAGCATCAGGTCTAACTGCAAGAGGGAAAATACAAAGCAGGTCATTATGAAGGGAAAAAAAATATGACAACCTCAGGAAAACAGCCCCATGTCAGGAGATGTCATTTGCTGTTTTCATGCCCACTGAGAACTGTCCTACAGGTTAGGTTTTTGGTGGTCCTTCAATTTCATTTCATCTGGCTCAAAGCAGTAAAACCGAAGCAGTCAGACCCAAACTCTGATACAGCCTTGGGAAGGTTTATAGTTTGGCTCTAAACGCAGGAAAGGCTGGGAAGGAAGAAGCAAGGGTCTTTATGGGTAAAAATCCTTTTCTATAAATGGAACTTTGGCATTTCTTTGGACTTCAGGAGAATAATATGGTTGGTTAGGGTCAATTGATCAAAGCAATTATCATGGTTCCAAAATATACAACGTTAAATAACAGAAAATTAAGGGAATAATTTCTATTGCTAAAATTTGTTCTGGCATACAAAAGATTCATCAGAGTCACACTTCAGCGCCCTATGACGTACACTCCCCCGAAGCAGGTAAGCAAAACAGCAAAAAAGGGTGATTGTGACTAATATTTAGTATGTGCAACCTCACACTGTAGGAGTTTTTCATTTCTTAAGAGGAGTGATGGAAGTTATTTCTGTGCTGCCAGTCCCCCATTCCTCAGCAGTTAGGCTGCTCCTGACCAGCCCACCTACGACTCTACGGGACCAGCTGACCCCCCAGGAAAGGCCAGCACATTTTGCTTTAATATCACTGGAATCAGTTTTTGTTATTCTTTCTTTCTCTCAGAGACAAGCTTTTTTTTATTTGTAGCTGCTCCATTCCTTGGAGTTTCAGGGCCTGGTCTAAGCCATCTAAAGGCCTATTTTTATAAACTCTTTGGAAAATGATCATCAAAGGGAGGGACAAGGGACAAGATAAGATCCCGGGGAAAACTCAATGTATAATTTATTCATGTCAATAAAGAGTAAATAAAATGAAATCAAACAGCAAATAAAAGAGAATTTTAATAAATAAAAGAAAGTATGCTTTTTTTCTTTGGTGAGGCAATTGGGGTTAAGTGACTTGCCCACAGTCACACAGCTAGTAAGTGTTATGTGTCTGAGCCTGGAAAGTATGCTTTCTAAATAAGTGCCAGCAGGGGCCAACGTTTTTAATCTGGGTATTACTGACATTTAACTTTGCCCTCGTTTATATGGTTATAGTAACTGTGCGTGCTATTATTTGGACATTGTTTGGTTCAATCTGCTTCACTTTATACACGTCTTCCCATCTGTCTGTAAATTCTTCATATTTCTTCTTTATGGAACAATAATATCTCATAATACTGATATACTGCAGTTTGCTCAGCCATTCCTCAAGTCTTGGGGACAAGATTTATTTCCAGCTTTCTATTATACTACAAATAGTGCTGCTATCAATATTTTTACATAGGTTTTTTTCTTATTGTCAATAACTGACCTTGAGGTATCAACCCAATAATTGGGTCACTGGGTTAAAGAGAAGAAACAATTTTGCAACTTCTCCTGAATAATTTTAAATCATTTTACAAAATGGTTGGACTAACAACTCTAGCAGCAGCAAATCTGTTCAACTATCTTTCCACACTTCCACCAGTATTGAATTTTTCTGTCTTTTACTATCTTTTCCAATGTAATGGCTATGAAGTAAAACCTTGGAGTTGATTTTAATTTGTATTTCACTAATTATTAATAATTTTAAATACTTTTTAGATGGCTACTAGATGGTACTCCCTCTTCTAGGAACTATTTATTCATATCTTTTGACCAGTATTAAAATTTTTGTATCTTTTTCCTATAAACTTGAGATATCTGACTTTTAACAGAAATGCCTTATGCAAAGATTTCTCCCCTGTCTATATTTTATATTTTATTCTAGCTACAATGATTTTATTTATGTAAAAGGGAAAGGAAGACTCTATCAATGGATAACTTCTAATTCAAAAGAGTTTCACTACCCTTGAAAGTTTAACTCTTAGCCCCTTACAATCTAGCTTAAGCTTCTACTACTCAAATGAAATTTGTTCTCTCAAAGGTCACTAGGATCCTGCCAATTAAAATGCCTTAGGGGAGAGGGGACAGGGAAGAAGAGTTCTCATCTTCTTTAACCTCTCTGTAGCATTTGACAGTAGGGACCAACCCTCCCCCCCTTTTCTGAATACTCTTTCTTTGTGGCTTCAAAGGTACTATACTCTCCTTGTCTAAACACGTGCAAGGAATTAATTAATAATAGCATCTCATTTATACAGAGCTTTAAGGCTTATAAAATGTTTTATGAATATTATCTGAGAGCAGGTCACTTGACCTCTCTGAGACTCAGTTTCCTCATCTGTAAAATGAAGAGGTTAGACTAGATAAGCTGCAAGGTTTCTCCAAGCTCTCAATCTATGCTCCCATTATAAGGTAGGCAGTGTAACATATTATCAGAAGAGGAAGCTATAGCTCAGATAGCTTAGGTGATTTGATCGAGGTCACAAGGCTAGTCAATATCAGAGTCAAGATCTGAACCCAAGTCTTCTGATTCCAAGTCCATTAAGTAACTCACTATACCACATAGCCTCCTATAAGAATATCCATGAAAGTTCCAGATAGTAAATTGAAGTATCAGTTGAAAGCAAGATGGAGACAAAATGCTCTGTACATATAAGGCTTCAAATAATAAATAAGATTATCTGTTTATGGAAGGAAGCCTTGAGAAAATATCTATAAAAGGAAGGCCTACACACAGTAGTCAAATATCCCTCTCAGGACAGTTCCTTCAACCGCTAACAGCTCCCATTTAAGTCTTACTTTAAAGCAGGGCTGGCTTATCATCCTTTCAAAGCCTTAAGGCAGGTACTGCCCAAGGGTCTATCCTAGACTCCTCTCTCTCTCCCTCGGCAATCTCCTTCATTTCCTTCATCACCGTGACTTCAACTATCACCTCTCTCTGCAGATGACTCCCAGAGTTCATCTCCAGACCTGACCTTCCTTAAGAGTTCCAGACATGACTACACAGGCATAATCTATATCAAATTGCTTGCCTTCTCAAGGAGGGGGACAGTTGGCAGGGAGGAAGAGAATTTGGAAATCAAAATTTCAAAAAATGAATGTTAAAAATTTTTTGTATGTAATTGGGAAAAGAATAAAATATGGAAAAGACAAAGAGCTCCAGGCAGACATCTCCAATTGCTTAATGGACATTTCCATTTATTTGGCTCACTGACACTTCAAACTCAACATGTCCAAAATTCTTCTTTTTGTGTTTTCCCCTAAATTTGATCCTCCTTCTGACTTCACAACTCCTCTTAATAGTACCACTCAGCCTCCTTTTTCTCAAAACTTGAGTGTTGTCTTTGCATCTTCTTTCTCCCTTACCTGAGGTTACAAAGTCCTACCCATTTCTGCCTATTCAACCTCCACATTTCTGGAATCTTTCCCCCCTTCTCAACTATCACTATCTCAACATAGGCCCTTATTACCACCAACCTAGAATATTTTGTCGTCATTGTTGTCCAGTTATTTTCAGTTGTGTCTGACTCTCCGTGACCCTATTTGGGTTTTCTTGACAAAGATACTGGAGTGGTTTGCCATTTCCTCTTCCAGCTCCTTTTATGGATGAGGAAACTGAGGCAAACAAGGTTAAGTGACTTGCTCAGAGTCACACAGCTAGTAAGTGTCTGAAGCCAGATTTGAACCCTGGAAGATGAGTCTTCCTGACTCCAGGCCCAGCACTCTGTGCACTATGGCACCACCTAGTCGCTTATACGATTCTACATTCCTGGAATGCTCAACCCCTCTCCTCCTACTGAATTCCTATCCATTTTCCACAGCCCAACTCATCCGAAATCTCCTCCTCCTCTCCCCCTCTTCAGCCCTTCAGAACTTCATTTTGGGCCACTCAAATGCTGTAAGTTAAAGTGCATAACACTGTGTATTACAGTTCTATGTTTATGTCTTATCTCCCTATTTGACCACAAGCTCCACAATGGCTGAATTGATGCAGCTTCCAAATTTGTGTCTCTCCCAATACTTGCAGAATTGAGCTGCCCTAAAGGAGAGAGATGCAGGATTAAAGCACTGTAAAAATAAGAAAGTCTCCTGAGAGAAATCAGGAACAAATCCCTTAAAGGTGGCTTTGAAAAAGCTACAGCTTCCAGCCTGGTTAATAAGGTACCTTGTACTTTTGGATAGCGTTCCATTAGCAAGGATCTTCTTCTAAAGTAGCTAGTGGTTGCCATAGTAGCAAAAGGAAGTTTTATTCTGTAATTCAGTTTAATCCAACCAATACTTGAGCACCCTTTATGTGCAAGACTCTGCACTTAGCACCACTGGGGAAACGGCCCTACTTTCCATGGAAGTTACGGCCTAGTTGGAGAGATAGAGTTTATACAAAAGAAGAAAGTTATGAATGACAACAGCTAAGGACAAACTATGAGAATGCAGGGGGTGGGGAGAGGTTGCTTTTTACTACAAAGATCTGAGAAGGCTTTTTCCAGGGAGTGGAATTTGAGCTATATTTTGAGAGTTGATTATTTTGACAGGTAAAGAGGAGGGAGGGTTTAGCCCAGTTCCTTCTGCTTTCCAGGGAGTGTTGGTACAGGTTAAACCCTTTGGAACAAAAAGATCCAGGTAGGGCTGCACTTCATTCAGGAAGAAAAAAGCCAAAAAACTTTCCTGGGATGTATGTTCGGAGTCAAATGAAGGCTCTGGGAGGAGGGAAAGGGTGCACTTGTCATTTCTGTAGGGGGACTGCAAGTGGGAGTCAGAAGTTGATTGGGGGCAGGGTTAGGAGCAACAAAGAGACTAGGTAGAAAAGCAACTTAAAAAAAATGAAACAGCACAAAATCTAGTATTGTGCTTGGAGTAAAAAGATCCCATACACTGAAATTATTCTAAATCACCTATTACAGATCCCAAGGGTTTCCTACAGCTGTAGCCCTATGACTTCAGGAATTTTAAACCAAGTGGAATTAATCAGAGCAAGCTTCAGTTGTCCAGAATAGCCCAGGAATGGGCTGTCAATAGAAAGAAAATATTATATTGGTTTCAGTTGTATTTTCTACAGTGTAATGTGTGACTTGTCTACAGAGCTGCTGCATTTGTGTTAAATGAATTTTCAGTATCTACAGGACTCAAACAAAAATAAGACTTCTCCAATCATCCTTCAGATGAGTACAGATCACAGGAGGGGGAATTTTTAAAATGAAAACTAAAGACATATTTGGGGATTTTACGAAGGATTCTGGTTTTGGATTTAAAAAATGAAACTGCTGAATTTCAGTTTCCCCTTTTTGCATTTTCTCACTTACTCATACTCATGACTATGGAGAACTTTGACCTTCAGGAGGTGTCTCTTCCCCAGACTAAGCATGGAGTCTATTTCCATGTCAGATGTTTCCTTTCATTTGACTTCCCCAAAGTGACCAAAGCATCAGCAGCCCTCTTGCCCAGTGTTTATCTGCCTTTCCCTATGGCTCCTGCTCCATCTGGCACAGAAATCGTCCCCAGGCAACAGCCTGAAGCACTACAAACACAGGACACGGAAGAGAGGTGAGGTAGGAAAGGAGAAAACTGGTATCACCCTCGCCTGCGTGTTCACTAACAAAAGTGGTACAGAAAACCACCTTCAGAGACACTGCCGTCAGAAGGAAATTCTACTCCTATACTGAGGTTCAAGGTCAAGTCCTTCCTATAAGGAACTCTCTTGTAGGGTTATCTTATGAGCACAAGTGGGAAGACAAGCTTACAAAGGAAGCAGCCACCACGCAGACTCACAAGTCAGCCTGAGAGAAGACTGTCTCCCAACAGGTCTCATTGCCCACACAGTAGGAGGTAAACACCCGAAGGAGTGAAGAGGTGGTTCATAATTAAAAAGAAGCCAGGACTTTATTAAGGGGATTTGGAACCACTAATTGATGTTTACTTTTTCCATAAAGTTAATTTATTTCCCAAGAGGTATATTGTGGCCATTCTCAGTACCATTCAGCATGAGGACAGGGGACAGAAAGTGGAGTATGATGCATGTAGCCGCAGCAGCAAATAGGAACATGACCACCATTAATTTGGAGGGAAAAAAAAAAGCAGAAAGGGTCTGAGATTCAGGGTTTTTTTAATGATCTAATAGACTAATGATCTAAATAGACTGTGAAAACAAAAGTTTTATAGAAATAAAAATATCTCTTTCTTCATAAACAAAAAGAAACTACTACAGACTTACCATCAAGGACTTCTTCAGAAAACCCCGGTCTCTCTGAGTCACTGATACTCTGGTTGTACAAACCAAATAGAAGGTAATTGGCCAGCTCCCTGCAGCCTTCATTGTATCTGCTGTCAATACCTACAAGGGAAGGAAGTCCATGAGCAGTTGCACTATTGGACACCGAGGGAAACGATAGGACCCAGTGAATTGCTGTCATTCAGCATTGCCTTATGTATGCAGTACTAGCAAAGTGACAAAGACCAAGAGAAAGCAACATTCTAGACCAATTCCCTACCTGAGGAGCCAAGCTGAGCCAATCTTTCTGACAGCATATGAATTCTCAGTGTAAAGCACCTTAAATCAGAGCTGAAAACCTCCTTTTAGTGTATACTAGGCAGTTCCTGTCTCTTCCTCCAGCACATTGGGTGCTCATAAACTCAACTATGCAGGAGTCAAGTTCAGTTATATATATGTAAAATATATATAACTTGGTTCCTGCCATGGCAGGATGGCATGCCATGGCAGCCTGGATGGCGATAGAACTTTGGAGAGATTCTCAAGTGGGCTAGGAATAGGGTTAGGAATGATCTGTGTGAGTTGTAAAGGGTTTTCCCTAGAAAGGACTCTGAGGATTGTGGGACCAACAAAAAAAGAAGAGCTCCAAAGATTCATCAAGGTGAGATTAATGAGATTAAGCAATGCGGCCTAAGGCAAGGAAGGATGCCAAGAAGATTGGCCCATGATTACTGCTTCCAGCAATTACTTCACCAGTTCTCCCAACCCCACTAGCCCACTTTGGGCCCTGACTCACATAACATTTGTTTACTCACCACCATGGCACAAAAAGAGTCACAAACCCACTTTCTCAGGGCCATGAACACACAAAGTCCTTGGTTTGGGAGTGTGGGTGGGAGAGTGAAAAGCTAAGACTATGAATAACTGGAATAAGGCAGCATCATGTAGGGATGAATGAGGGGGAAAGAGAAAGGGTCAGAAGAAGATCTATAGCCACAGACAGAGATGACTTGACAAGAGGGCCAAAGAAGTCCAAAGAAGAGAAGGGCCATAAGAAAGGACGTGGGGGCCCAGCCCCACCATCTTTACTACTTCAGATGAACTTAGTGGGAGTTCCAAGTCAGTTCTCAGAGATGGTCTGCCTCAGCTCAAGGCCAAAGGCAGGAACAAAAGTAGGGTCTAGACAAGGCCTGGGCTAGAGTGCCTTTATAGCTCACAAGAGGACCACACAAATGGAACAGGATCTGGGAATACAGCAGAGAAAGGTACACATAGTTTCAACACAGGATGGGATCTCTGGGATAACATGGTGAAAAGTCAGGGTCCAAATGAGATTATCCAAGGCTGGAAGAGCCAGGATACTGTGGAAGAGTGAGGTGTGGCTGAAGAGGACGGCAAAAGTGAGGGTCAGAACATAACAAGCTAACTGGGTTTAGCCTGGTAAAAGGAGAACAAAGGATTCTGTTCTGTTCAGTCAATAAATTCCATAGCCTATGATATCCAAATATCAAATTCCACAATGGGAAGAGAATTGGAGGGGCAGTTACTGTCATTCTATCTGAAGAAACAGATCAGCAACAAGAGTTTAAGGAAGTTATGATCAACTGAAAAACTGGAATATTCCATAATTCAAGAAATTTTGCATGTCAAAGTATTTCATTAAGTCTTGTATTTGTGCCTGACAAATAAGACTACTCTTACCCTGGGTGTTTATTAACTTCACTACTCACATTCCTAACATGCATTGTAGGGTCTGCAATGTTGGCACTCTCAAGAGCAGGAAAAATACTTTGGCCAGAGGGGTAGCCTTATAATTTGATCTTAACTCATCAATCTTCCCATTTGTATATATAAAAGGGTATTTGAAAGCCATTTATTATGGCCTGTTTGTCCAGTTTTGTCTGAAGAGTAGTGAAGTGACAACACATTCCATAACAGTAAACAGGGTGTCTGGTTCCCAAGTAAACGCAAAGCAAAGGAAGACCTGTTAGAATAGGGTCAGCTACTGAGTACATTTTTAATTGACTTGTTCATGAGCTTTCTGCATGAATGCAATTAGCTTACCATCCCCAGCAAAGACTAAAACATTATATTAGCCTAGATAACATACTTGCATAACTAGACAACATGTATACAGAAGAAATACAAATATGTAGAATTTAGACAGCCTCAGAAGCTCTCTTATCTGTCCCCTAATGGTTTCCCAATAATTAAGTTATGTTATTTAAGTTAATATTAAGTTAA